AATAGCCTTTTTATATCCAGGCATCATAAATATGTCTTATTAAGTTAATACAAAAAGCACTCACAAACAATCTAACAATGGTTAAAAGCAGACCTACTTTTTTTGGGAACTCATATCCACCAATAGAAACATTCTTTTCTGCAATGATCCTCGCATTCATAGAAACAACAGGATACATCCTGCAAGACAAGTTATTTTTTGTTTGCATGTTACTTTAGGCTGGTTCATAGTCTGGCTTCTTCTTAAGCAGGTGAATAAGGATGTTAACTGATGAATTAGTCTACATTTAACCTGTTAAGAGCCATGAGTTCAAATAAAACCCATTTTGGCTGCTAAATAGACAAACTTCAGGAAACTTGAAGCTTATTTTCATTTTCAAAGATTTTCAGTTTGGCTGTTACAAATATGTGAAAACTATCTACTAAAAACATGTTTGTTTCCTGCATTAATCGCTTCAGTTAAAGCTAAATCGCAGCAGTCTCACCTCAGCGTCTCTTTGATAACTGCCTTTAAATATGGCATGCCAGTGATGTCAGCAGCGGTGGGGATCCGGTCTAATGGTACCATAGTGGACACTTCTTTATAGAGTCTTTCCTGGATATCAGGGTTCTTGGAAAGCTCGTGCAAAGCCCACGTGAGAGTGTTGGAGGTCTTGGGAGTTTAAAAAATGTGAAAGTAAACTTTTGAAGACATATATGCTGAGCCTTGCATACATGTACATGCAAAAGAAAAGTGAATACACCGAGTGGTGAGCTTTGATGATTAGAGCCGTGCAGAGTGCCTTTTTACATGTGATTTTTTATTACTAGTATTGGTATTCCATTTACCGTGTCCACTCCAGCTAAGAGGAGCTCAGTGACGCTGCCATACACATCTTTAGTGCTCATCTGCGTGTTTGAGAGTAGGTATGTCAGGTATTCACCCTCCACATCCTGCTTGTTGTCAACCCGCTGCTGAATCATCTCCAACTTCTTGTCAATCAATTTTTTGGCTAGAACAGGTGCATAAAAATGGTGCAAAAAATAAAATAAAATAGTTGGAACACTGTATAATATCAGTCAAAACAGAATGCAGTCATTTACTCATAAACCCATATTTTACTAGCAACAGGACATAGGATGAAATATACTGTATCAACTGAGACAATTTATTATTTCATGAAACATATTAGCTTGGGTTCAATTTGATGGAAACAACATATCTTTAAAACGTAGTGACAGTTGCACCAAACTGGCAACAGTTCAGTACCATCAGTACCATAACTGGTACTTTTATATCTTTTATATCCATAACTGGATATAAAAAAAAAGAGCATCTTATAGAGGCAGTGTTTCTCAGAGGTAAAGATAGATTATTCACCAATCTGCAACAAAAGACCATAATCTAGAAATGCTGCCATCTACTCTGGGACAAAGCTCATTTAAAATAGAGGCAAAGTGGAAAACCGATCTGTTTGTTTGTTTCACTTTATTAAAGACACACATGGGCCCATAAAAAATTAATTCCATAGCGTTACACAGTTATATAAAGGCTAAAATGTCAATGGTTCCATAATTTTGAATAAAACCTAACTGAACTTAGTGCAGGGTCAGTCAGAGATACAGTTATATGGGTCCGCTGCCACTGGCCAGCGAGCCTTGAAGCTACAAATGCTGGCCTAGGACCACTTGGTGGCATGATGGGAACACCCACGAGGACAGCCATGGCTGGTAATAACGGACCGACTGGTCCTGGCCCCACGAAGGCCACCGACTAACCCTTTTTCATCTGGGTTTTCTCCACATGTCCCGGCCGTTACGGACACCATGCCCAGCTCACCTAGGGCTGCATAGGCATTGGGGCAGGAATGCTGGAGGTGTGGGCAACCGGGGTATCTCCGTTGGGACTGCCCGTTAATGGAGGTGGGACAGGTGCTACGTATTGCCAGCCCTCCGATGCCCTACCCTGATTCAGGAGAGACATACCGTTTACCGGTAAGGTGCCCAGGGGGTATATGCCAGGCTTTAGTGAACTCGGGCTGTACGCAGACCCTGGTCCACCAAACCCTGCTGGAGGCTGAGTGGGTGGAGGTGAAGTGTGTGCACGGGGACATTCATAAATATCCCTCAGTGCAAATAGAAATTAGATATCAGGAAATCTGGAATCTGGTCCGGCGGACGGAGCAGTGCCAGGCAGCGCTTGTGCGGGTGAAAAAAGCCCCCTGTGGATAACTGCTGTTCCACACACACCTAACAGCTCCCTCCTTTTTATTCTGCAGACCGAGGAAATGAACCATTCGGCTTGTTATCAGCACTCAGTTCAAAAGTCTGTATCTCAGATGGTATATGGTGCATCAGTACCTGTGAAAGTCTGGAAATGCTCCATAAATGCTGAAAGGTATCGCATTGCATATTTCATCAGGATAATGTTAAACTGCATACTGCATCTATTCCAACAGCATGGCTTTTTACTAGATGAGTCCAAATGCTGAACCGGTCTGCCTGCGGTTTAGACCTTTCACCAACTGAAAACTTTCAGACCATCACGAAAAGTTCCTCTGGCAAAAGTCCAGCAGCTGGTTTCCTGTTGTTGTTGACTGTTGCTAAAAGAAGAGGACATGCTGCACAGTAGAAAACATGGCCCGTTTTGTTGCTGCCATTTGCCATGTGTCTCTGTACTGAAGCCCAGTTTTGGACCCAAAGTGCAGGATGCAGAGGACAGGACATGAAATCAATTTAACTTTAACTAAACCAAGAAAATTAAAGCAGAGGGTTACACAGCACGTGTATAAGGGAGAACATGACAAGGAATATAGACAAACAAGAGGGAAGGGGGCAAAGTGGAGACACCTGGTGAGAAAAGCTGAACTGAATCCGAGCTGAATTGAACATAATGCACATGAGACAAGAAACTATCAAAATAAAACAGGAAATGAACAGTTGACAGATCCGCATACGTGGACTTTACACAGAAACAAAAAACAAATACTGGGACTAAACTTACTACACACATGTCTTTTTGACACATGACACTGAGGACTAAGCACAGATAAGACAAGGGAAGACACAGGAACAGACGAAGGCAAAAATAAAAGGGCACCCAAAGCATAAACTGAACATACATAACCTGTTACTAAAAACTGGGAGGAGCAAATTTGATGCCAAATACTAAATAGGGGTTTATAACACAAAATGCTTCACTCTGCTAGTTCACCATATTACACTACATAGCACTACATCTCTGGATAAAAGATAAAAGATGCTGAATGGTGCACATGTAGTAAAGTAACTGTAAAAGGATTCTGAATCCTCAATAAGATAAGAAAAGCACTGTATAAATACCAGCAGATAGAGAATAAGGCCGTGGCTCCTTACGGGAAGTTGGTGCAAAAACCCCCCACAGATTTATTTTTTTCTTTTTATAATACTGTTTATTGTTTCCTAACACTCTAAAGCTTAACTAAAACATCAGGACTGTGAGGTTCAAACTGCTCACCAAAGCTGAAGATGCCCTCCCAGCCAGCAATGTAACGTCCCCAGTAGGGCAGCAGATTCCGGCTCCACTTGGGAAGAATAAACACTATCATGTTGTAGGAGAGCATCTGGGCTATGGAATTGATGAAATCTTGTGTACCACCAGGAATTTCCTCTTCCAGACAACCAAGCCTTGTCTCAAACAATATGGAGGCAATTCCTGAATGGATAAGAAAAAGAAAAGGCAATGAATCTAGCAACAAATTTTTTTCTTAACTTTTAGCTTCCTTTAAACTTTAGTTTGAAAATCATATTTTTTTTATTTAGTTCATTAAACAAATATGTTATTTAGCATTCAGCATTTGCAGTTTTAACCATCAGACTACCTTCTAGTGAAAACAGATAAAGCTCATTGGCAATGTTGGTCACAAAGTCTCCTGTTGGGCTGCACTGGCACAGACTGCGCATCTTCTTGGTGAAGTCTTTAACCACATCATTGATAATCCCAGAATACTGGGCCGAGTCCTTCGGATGCAGCATCCGCTTGTTAAGCACCACCCTCAGCTTGTACCACCTCTCTCCATCCCTGTTGGAACAGAAACATGTTTGCAGTGAAATAAATAAATCCATACGCAAACACAACAAAGAGTCTGAACTATGATACACTTATGCATCCATTATGGCTGATTTTCTGCTACATTTTTCCATTCAACCAGTTTTTAGCCAGTAAACTAAAGAGCTCACACAAATATCTAAGCTGGCTGTGGTCTGCAGTTTGTTTGCTACTATGCTTACATGCGCACACACACACACACACACACACACACATATATATGTATATAAAATGCATAGAAACATTGAGAGAGTGCATCCTTCATTTTGAGCACTATTTTAAACCAGTTTGTCTTGTGAACAGAGTAACCTTTTGTGTTTAAAGTGCAGCACAACAGACAGACCTGACCTTCATTGACTACTTTGATTAATTTACTGATATTTACTGACTGGTATCTGTCACGGCGAGTGGAGTGAGCCGTGTAGAGGAAATGAAAGAGGATCCAATTACAGGCACTTGCTGAGATGCGAATGTGGTTTATTGTAGAACAAAGGTGGAAATGGCAAAACGGAACAAAAATAATCTATACTGAGACAAACTAAACTATTGAACAGCAAACATGAACACGAAGGAATGTAGACAAAGGTACATGATGGCGACAGCAGGGAAACCACACAGTAGATACGCAGACAGACCAGCAACTACAACAACAGAAGACACGACTTAAATACACTCAGAGAATACAGGGAGATTACACACAGGTGGGGAACACAGCTGGAAGTAATTGACAAGAGGAGACAAGGGAGGCAAACTGAATACACTCACATAAGACACAGACTTTCACAATAAAACAGGAAACAAGAAACCATCACACAAGGACGCAGACTCGACACTGAGAGGCAGACAGAATATAACACATGGAACTCAAACTATGCTAAACATGAGACACAACCGAAGAACAAATCCTTAAACACGAATAAACAGAAACATAGAATTCTAATAATAATCAGCAAAGCACACGAGTCTCAGAAAACAATCCAAAATGCAAAAATAAACTAAAACTTAAATAAGTTAGTTTTAGTTTATAAAATATAAGAAACTCAAAATGCTGGGTCGAAACGACCCAGAACCGTGACAGTATCACTGATGCCAAATTTAATCATTTAACATTTTTTGCCATTGGTGCATCGTTCTGATGCAGTATTTACTGGTATCACATTGCTATTAGTGTTCCCTGCATCAGATTTCTTCAACAAGCCTGTGATGAGTTTATTAAACTGTGGCTCTGACTGTTGACCTAGAAAAACACCAGAGTATTACTTCTGGTGTTTTCCTCAAAATCCTCAAACTTTCTTGTAATTTCCAGCTTTTCATAATAATATGACAGATATTGGGTGTGGAGCCCACTGTCTTCAGATAAACAACACAGTTTAAAATCTGCTCAGCCTTTTAGTTTCATTTGATTGCCTAATATGGTGGTTCTCAAACTGAGCCTTTGCAGATGGTGAAGGAATGACCACCATCTGCAATATAAATTTTATTTTATTTTTGCAACATAAATAGGTTTACTGCTGCTACAGCACTGAGCCTGACAGAGCTAAAATTAATCCCCTTATATTGTCACCGGTTCATAAAACTTGTGGAGCATTAACATTTTTCTGATTTCTTATCTTTATGGAATATACCTGCCTGAGAGGAATCTATTTAACCCAAATAGGTCAAAAACAATCCCTTCCACTCATAATAAAACTCTTTCCCTGGAAATCTGTCACGTATTAGAATCTAAGCAATCACAATGAGATTATTTTTTTAGGTGGGGCAGCATTACTACACTGTTTGGTAGTCTTACTCTGTAAAAGGTCCATAGCCGAATCCTCTCATGTCACGATATTCCCTCCACACACTCATGTCTCCTCTACAAGGGAACTTCTCATCCTTCCTCAGCAGCTCGGCCAAAAGCTCTGGGGTGCTCAAGGATATTGATCTGAGTCCGTCTCTGTAAATGGGCCCATACAGCTGCTTCTCATAGATCTGACGGTGGAAAAGTGATAAAGGTAGAGCTGCATTCTTATAGAATAAAGATAAAGACATTTGGGGATTTTTGCAATGTGTAATTTAAAAAGCAGACATTATATTTAATCAGTCAGTAATCAGATGCCAGAGGTCAGTGTGTGCTGGAGTGGCTGCATGTGATTCATCAGAGAGAGAAAGCAGCCCAAGACTCTGTGTCAGTTAGCTGTGAGACAAGCTGATACTGTCTGAAGGTAACTATGGACAAAAAAGTTATACAACCAGCCCAACATTTTCTATTATTTATTGTCACTGGAGGAAAATGCAATCACTTGTAAACCCATGACCTCTCAGATTATCAAATTTGTCACCAGGGTTTCTGAAATGCATCAGGTGGAAAACACAAAACATCTTTGACATCGAACTGAAACAAGCACGTATCACTGTGAGTGAACATAATAAAGATCATGCACTGCAGCCTACCTGAAGCTCATGCATACGTTTGTAGAAACCCTGAAACACCACTCTGCAAAGAAACTCCAAGAAGCTGACATGTGGGAGATCTTCCACTGTCCGAGGCTTTTTCTGGATGGTGGAGAGGGCCCCTGAGGCAGGGGAGACCCTTGCAACCCCTCTGGAGCAGACTGGGGCCAGGGAGATAGGGCACGGCAGCAGTGAGCTGCATTTTCTCTTCACCAGTCTACTGGACAGCCATGCAGCCATTATGAGGGGAGAATAGAAAATACAGAGAGCTCCTATTGCATGCAGAAGACTAGCCATAAAGGGAGGCGCCACATCTCGCTAAACGTTTAACCCTTCCAGCCCAGCTCTTAAGGATCAACAAAGACAAGAAGCCACAAAGGACCACAAATGGAAAAATACCTAAACTCACATTTTTCTGCTCAGTAACAGTGAGATGGCTGCTTTTAAGCAAGCCTGACTAGAGTGTCAAAGTAAATCGATGACTGTTTCTAGTTACTGAATCAAAAGAATGCTTTTAATTTAAAACACATTTGTGTGATGAGCGAAACAGATGTGAGATCTGATCAACACGACTTTCAGTCTCCAGTAAACATGCTTTGGATACTGCAAGAGTTATATTTTTGTGTGTGTCTCATCTCAGTACCCTCCTACTGTACTGTACAGTGAATACAGAAAGGCAAGCAGAGGTGATAGAGATCCACTTCCACACCCTTTAATCATACACAACAAAAAAAGACCAGTCTAGTACAGTCAGTCATGTGAAACAGAAAGTATATGCTTCCTTTTCTAAAGTTGCTTCAAAAGGACTTCAGAGGACAAGTAGCAACCAGGTGCTTCTTATGAAATACACTTTATTAACTGATCATTAGTAAGAGTAATCGCCTGTGTAAAAGCAGACGTTTTGCCACAATCTTCCCAGAAGTGGGCATCCCAATTAATTCACCCAAGATCGCATCGTGCAGCCCTCAGAGAAACTGTAAAAAAAAAACCCTGAGCTCCATCTCAAACTCTGAAGGCCTCAGTCAGCATGATAGTTCATGATAGCACAATTAAAAAAAGACTGAGCAAGTTTGGAAGAGTTGCCAGGAGAAATCCTCTACTCTAAAAAGAGCAGGGCAGCACAGGTTATGTTCAAAAAGCTGCATCTGAACAAACCGCAAAACTTGCGGACCGATGAGACCATACGACCAGATGTTTGATCAGCATGCATAGAAGTATGTTTGGAGATAACTAAACACATTATAGCAACAGTGAAGCAAGGTAGTGAAGGGGTGATGATTTGGGCAGCTTGCAGTCATCAAGTCAACCATAAGGTCCTCATTGTACCAAAGCATTCTGTCACATGTGGTGATGGACATGTGGTGGTGTGACCTCAAAAGAGCTGTGAATGAATGAATGCTCAATGGCCTAAAACAACAAAGTGGATGCTAGACTGATAAATAGAAAACAATTATGTTATCACTGCTAAATGTGGTTCTATCATGGGGTGCACTTAGGTGTTCAGAAGCTTCTTCTGCATTTTAGTTCAGTTTTTGTCAAATAAATCACATTGTGTAAATAGGCAGTGTCTTATTTTTCCACCTCATTTTAAGGCTTGCTGCTGATTTATATGTAAAAACTATAACTTTAACTACAACTATAACCAGGGCTGGATTGGAACAAAAGAATCGGCCCGGGCATTTTGACTAGAGACTGGCCCACCAGGTATTATAGGAAAAGCCATAAAGCCTTTGAATGAAAACAAACGCTGTTGTCACAGTGACGTACAGTCTTGTTGGTATATGTATGCTTTCTATACATTTTACATCAGATAAAAACTTTGGTTGTAAGATTCAGATAATTATTTGTTAAAAGCTAAACATTTTAAATGAGAAAAAGAAAGAAAAGTATTTCTTTGTGCCCCCCTTTCCCTGTTAATGCCCTACATGGCCCCCTGGCAAAACTTTGCTAGACCCGCCCCTGCACCGTTACCAGCTGTCAGCTATGTAGAAAAGGATCCTGGTGTTATTTGTCTCTCAGAAACAGTTCATGACTTCCCTTCAACTCATTCATGTCACCTAAAAGGTAAACCTGTTTCTCCATCACCTGTTCAGCTCTGATGATTCAGTAAGGACATCTCCTGGTTTCATCTTCATGTTTCCCTCTCACCAGATAACCAAACCGACATCATGACCAGCAGCTTTTACAGCTGTGGCTCCAGCAAACATCAGCTGATACTAGAAAGTAATATTAAATAAATTCTAACAACAGCTGATCAAGCTTAAACGTGCTGCTGTTGTTTAGCGCGACATCCGCTGGTGTCCCGTTCTGGCGCAAAGTGGGCGATAAACAAGAGAGACCGGACTTGCGCCAGAAAAGCCGATCAGCTGATCACTGATCAGTTTCATGACTGAAGTAGCAACAGGAAAGGGAGAGGTGAGAATGAGAGAAGAGGCAGCTGACAGCGTAAAGACGCAGAATAACTCCAGCTTTGTGTCTTTTCCCATTGTAGCTGAAGTACGGGACAAACTGTGTTCCTTCTCAGCTAATTACAAAACGCGTAATATTTTCTCTGAATACGGGACGATTCCGTTTTTTACTAATTAACCTTATGAATAAAATAAAGTTCACTATCAGTAACATCAAAGCACCCACCCAGCTGTATAGACACTTCGTCATGCTACCTAGCTCACGCAGTACGAGTTATTGTAACTGACTGTAAAAAGTCAGCACAACGAAAATAAACTCCACCTAAACTTGGTTTATATCTGACCCAGATAGACTGCAGGTCATAACTTCTTACCTGAAGTTCAGTTCACCTCTCCTCCGCCTGCCTCTCCTTTCCCTCATCCATCTGCTGGCCTATGTGGTGTTTTTCCAGGTAGGATGGATTCCCAGAACACCACCACCAAACAACTGAGTTATTTTTACACATCTGCCAGCATCTGGCCAATCCACCACCTTTCATTGTTTATACCGTTACTGAAAAAAAATAAATCATCGGCCCATAAAAACAAAAAAATCACCATCGGCCCACCAGGCAAATGTCCGGTGGGCCGATGGCCAGTGCAGCTATGACTATAACTACATTTGGAAGACAACCTTTCAAGGTCAGAGCAAAGTTTTTTGCAAATTTTTGAGAATGAATCTTTCCAATAAGACAGAGCTTGGAGTAAATGTAGGTGAGGTTTGTGTGTTTGTATTTCCAACATCTAAGCAGTCGCATAAATCACAAAAATCAACTCTCTTATGCGTCTGTCTCATTAATAAACTTAAACTGAAAATATTTTTCCATTTCTCTTTATTTGGGCTTCAGCATCCAAATCCCTTCCAATCCTGTTATCCTTTTATTTGAGCAACATTGTCTATCGATCCTGCAGGGTCCATTTTGTGCAGCAGAAAGTGTCCTTGCACCTGAGCAGCACTGACTTCAGAGTGTGTGGCTAAAGCGTGCTTGGCAAAGTGTTCTGCCTCAGAGGCCGGTTCGTCGGGATAAAATCGTCGGAACATCTGGGTGAGCTGCCAGTGGGTGCAATGCCCGATGTACTGCTTCAGATCAACACGGCCAGGTCGGATGAGCGCTGCGTCTAACCTGTGTGCAGATATCATACACAACGCTGGCAGTTAATGGCACTGAAAACACTTCTTATGTTTCACAAGTGAAAGAACAAGTTTTTGTAGCCATGACAAAAAGATTGTAATGTTCATTAAGGAAGCAGAGCGACGTGAGGAAGATGAGGTGATGAAGCTGATCATACAGGCAGGGATGAACAGGTAGGCGTGCACGGATTAATTTAAGATCTGAAGATAAAGTCAATCTAACATTTGGTCATGTGATCAGTTATAGTTTATTAATGTATGTAAATTGTCACTATGGATACACGGTCTACTGTGCACATGCATATCAGACCTATGTACTCTGATACTGTGTCACACTGCACTACTCCTTTTTTCCCAGGACACTGGTTATGTCAATCCCTGTACTGCACTTATTTTATTGAGGTAGGCTGCTGTATCACAGTAATATCTCAACTTCACCAGCACTTCACCAGCACCAGCAGCGCCACCTGCTGTTGGGGTCTTTTATTTTCTTCTAATTCTGTTTCAGTCTCTTCACTGCTTCAATTGTTTTTTTTTACATTTACATTAGAAGCAGCTATATCAGTTTACATGTTGGTACAATGTCACTAAACACTCTTGGCTTCGAACAGTACCTGTCTATGAAGTTGGTAGTCATAAAAACTATTCGGGCCTCCGATGAAGCCACTCCGTCAAGAGAGTTCAGCAGTCCGCTGAAGGTCAGTCGTCCCATTCCCTGATAGGCCAGAGGGTCTGAGAGGCAACAGAAGGAAACACAGCTCAGTGACTTCAAAATTCACCTTCAAACCAGAATGTAACAAATCTGGTCAAATACAGCTTTACAGGTTGCTTCAGTACTGAATATCAGCCTGTTTTAAAACCACAGAGTGGAGCTGATGAACATCTGTGATGTTTTAAACATGTAAAAAGAAATATGTTTGATCGGTTCTGCTGCTCACTCTCAGTGGGAAGCAGGTCTCTGCTGACGAAGGCTGCATCGACATCCTCCAGGAGAATGATGCTCTGCTGCGGAGCCACACTCAGGAGGTGATTCAGGCGGTCGTCTGAAAGTGTTCGGTCACTCAGACTCATCAGACAGATGCTGTAGCCCAGCTCACCAGCCAGCGCCGTGCTGAAAAAACAGCAAGTTACACAGGCATTGGTGAGGTTACATGACGAGTACGCAGCAAGAAAAATAAACCCGAATAAAGCATATACTCACATAAAACTGCTCTTTCCACATCCGGGGGGGCCGTACAGCAGGTAGCCTCTTCTGTAGGGAATACCTGCACAGGTGAACAACCACCATCAGTAGAGGATTAATCGCAAAAAACCCTAGAAATTCTTCTACAAAGTAGACAAATTAAAACTTTCGGTAACATTTTTCTTATTAGGTTTTTCTAGAGACCTTCCCTACTCTCGAACAGACTCTGGTAAGGAGTCGGACCAGACCTTCAGCAAAAATCCAAAGGGCATAACCTTTAACAGAAGTGATGTTCATCAATAAAGCGATCAGAAAGTCAGCAACTTCAACCAAGAATGGGCAAAGTACCCTGTGAGTAACATTTTCATGATAACTCAGTTGTGTTCCTTTAATTGTGGTGATCAAGATATTATAATCATGATTAAAATTCATGTCATGTAACATTTTACCTCTATCTGTGTACCATTTGGGATTTCCA